TATTTCTATCTTTCTTTTTATTATTTTTTACAATTTTTAGTTCGTACCATTTATTCCAAGTTAAGGTTCACTCAGCGTCCTCTCTTTCAACCGCCTGCTGCATTTAAATCATCGACTGCATGATTCTTCATGTTGAAGTTTGTTGGCCGGATAATGATTATCCCCAATTTTTTATATATAGCTACTCCATTCAAGGCTGTCGTTTGACTCCGATCGGAGTAATTGGCTTCGATTTGAAAATTTGTGTCCCCGGGTCATCCTTTTGTATTTTAGCTCCAATTTTGTCTTTTCCTCAGTCAGACCCAAAAACAATATTGACAATTATTCTTGAAAAAATTTTTCAGTTGAAGAATATAATTTCTAAATAAAAAAATTTATTTTGCAATATTTAAAAATTCGTTGAGAATATCTTGAGAATAGTTTTTTTTTAAGAAATATGGGAATTGGCTCCGCTTTTTCGAAAATGGCTCCCTTCTTTGAATATTTCTGCCCTTCATCCAAAAAATCAAACGACAGCCCTGACTCTAATCCTGCGATTATCATAAATTAAATTGTAGAATTACCCTAATGTAAATCTGACACTTAAATAGCCTTCTTGGTAGATGAGTTTTGTGAACGGACTATGAAGTATTACCTTCCAGACTGATCTGTATCTCGCTTTTTTACTCGGAAAGTGAAGGGAAAATGAGTAAATATCGTGTACTTGTGTAATGTAATTTTCGAGTGAGAAGAATTATTCCGATTGCGCATCTCGTTTTTTTTTAAATTGTATAAAAAAGTTTTTCACTTTTTTTTTTTTCTTTATTGATACAATTTACAATTAAAATTTACAATTATTGTAATTCAATTACATATACATATATACATACTGAATGTTTTTTGTTGGTTTGAATAGTTTTGTGAAATTCTATTTTAACTGCAAATTGATATTTTAATAATATATTCAAAAATAATTTCAAAAAACAAATGTATTTATTGTAATATGAAAAAAGAAAGAAAATATTGCAATTTAAAAGCCCGAGTTGCATAAGCAGCTGTTTGGCTTATTATTTTTCTATAAATAAAAAAAAATTGGGTTTTCATTTTTATTCTTCCCTTATTTAAGATTTTTAATAAATTTCTAACAAATTTTTTAAATTTTGTTGTTTTGTGTTTTTTCTCTTTTTTATTGAATTTTCTAAGTTATCGTAAATTCTTATATGCTATTAAATACAAAAAGATCCAGCTTTAAATTTTTAAATTATAAATATTAACAAAGTTAAAAATTATTGTACAGAATTAATAAGCAAATATAATAAACAAAATTTCAAAATATTAGTTTCTGTATAAAATGTATTTTTTAATTTCTTTCTTAAAAATCCCTATGTTTACTATATCCTTTAATTCCCTTGGCAATTGATTATAGATTCTTAAACAATTATATAAACAATTATTTTTTTGATGGCTTGTTTTAAAAATAAATGTTTTTTGATGCTTAGTTTTTCACTTTTTTTTTTTGAAAGTAAAACATTCAGTTGATGATTTGAGAAAAAATACTAAAATCCAATTAAAATAAAGTTCGGTCAAACCTATGGTATGTATTGTAGCACTTTTCCCTTCAACAAGTGAAAATACTGCTTTTAAATACATGTATATCTACCACACTATTAAAATTATTTTCATTCATAAACGAAACTATTTCTAGGATTACATATATTTATGATGAGCGATTTATGCAGTCTTTAAAATAGAGTAAAAATTAATATAAAGTGGGGTTAACATAATGCTCGATTTTAATGGTTGTGTAAGTTAAGAAAAATAATTAAGTTTTTTAATGTCATGGAATTTACCGTTAACTTTTTGTGTTTATAGAAATTTGAGAAAGCTTGCAGTTTTACAAATTTCCAGAAGCGATAACTTGATGGAGGTGGAGATGGAAAAAAACTTTCTTCTAACAAAATAAAGTACTTATTAATGTCTAAAAGCTAATTTCAGGCTCCTATAACCTGGGGTCTAGAAGAAAAACGACATCGAAAATTTGGAAGAAACGGCTTGTAGATAACGGTAAATTTGAACGGCCATTTTGTTTTTTTTAAGTTTGACTATAGTATGAAGCTTATGGTTTCATTGCAACAAATAGTTAAAAAAGGCCATTTTTAAGGTTTTTGGTTGTATAACTTCTATAGGGGGGCAGATAGGTAAAAATTTTCTTCTACAGAAATAAATAGCTCAATACGTCCTTTTTACCTTTAGGTAGATTTAAATATCAATCAACTAGTTCAATCTTTTAATTTTCTTATTTAGGTACATTTCTAGTTCGGTCACCTTTATATGTATGGTATTTCATATAGGTTAATATTTATAGAATAATTAATACAGAATTGCATATAGGTTAATATAAATACAATACAAATAAAAATCACCGAACTACATTACTATATCTGAATAGAATACAAATAAAAGTGAACTTGATCGAAAACAAATGAAATGCAAATAAAAGTGACCGATTCAGTTTTCAATATGAACACAATACAAATAAAAGCGACCGATGTAGAAGACTATACCTAAATAGGATACAAATAAAAACGAACGAGACTGAAAATAAATAAAATGCAATAAAAAAAGGGCCGACTTAGTTGCCACTGTTTAGTATGTCGTACTTTTTTATTAGTATTGATGTATTTATATTAGGCCACCGGTCATTTGCGTGTGTATAGTATTTCATTTATTTCACTTCTCGTTGGCTTTTACCAATACTCCATATTAGCATGTTTGAGGGCGCCAAAAACACCAGGCTTCCGTAATTATATTACCGGAAGGCGAATTTTTTTAAGTTATTTTTTCTGATTATTTAATCGGCTTTCTTATACTACTACACATATACACTTTAAAAAATTAAATAATTTTAAAAAACTACAAAGTATTGTATGTTGCAGCATCTTAAAAAGTTAGCAAATATAAAACTTATTACAAATCCCTGTATCACAGACGAAATCCTTAAATGTAAAGAATCTTGATAATAGAAAAAGCTTTTAAGTAGGTATTTTCTTTTACCAAAAAAGTTTAACGTATATTTCCAGTTATTCAACTTTAAAAAAAATTTGATGTTTTAAAAATGTTCAAATTGTAATTGAATTATTTTTGTACTCACCGTTGAGCATGCGGTGATTCGTTGGGACTCACGTTGTTGAAATTGTGTGCGTAAATATGCAATTTAATCAACACAGGAAAACTAAAAATTAGATTAGTTAATAAGTCGTTGACTTATTAACTAATCAGCAATAAAACAGCAATAATCAATCAATAAGTACTAATTCAAAATGAACTTAAACTCTACAAAATTCTTGCAGTTTTGTATGTCATGTAGTTTTACTCTAACACCTGTATAATATATTTGTATGAATGCATTAACGATCTGCAAAAATACATTTTTATTGAAGTAAAATACTCGAGATATTTGCTTTATATTTTTTATAAAAGTAAAAATCAAACCAAAACCTATAACTAAAATAAGCCTCAAAATCAAGTGTGAGTATTTTGCATATCAAACCGCACACTCATGGAAACAGATGATGTAAAAAAAACGGGGAGCGGTAAAACAGGATTTTAGGCTATTTCAACACCAAAGGTAAACTCTGCGGCGGTAATTTCGTTTCATTCTAGCAGTCCCATTTAAATATTATGCATATTATAAATGTCATAATATGTCATAATATCGTACTTCGCAAAAATTGTTATAACACGATAATTGTGACACATAAATAAGCTATTGTCAAAAATGTGGTTACAACAGCACACATTCAACGGTATGTAGGAAGGAATTCTGTCCATGTAAAAATCTACACGTTTCCGTATTAGAAATTAAATTACTAACTTATTTAAATGGTTAAAATCTTAACATTAGTTTATATTATTATTACTTAACACTAAATTATATTTGCCACAGGAAACAGAATAAAATTTAAAACTCTTACAAATTAAAAATACTCTGTTGGTGTCGAGTCCCTTTTTCCTAATGCATTTACGTTCCTATTTCCTATAGCATTTACGTTCCTCTTTTCTCGTAGGCTTCCTATTTCACTGAAAAAAAACAAATATACTATTATATTTTAATAACTGTAATAATATACATAATAGTATAATAGTATAATATAATAGTTATTATATAATAGTATAACTGTTATAATATATAATAATTAATTTAAATAACTGATTACAATAAAAACTTTAAAAAATACACCAAATTTTACCAATTTATTCTTTCTTTTTAAATAAATTTTAGTATTATTTTTTCATAATCCACCTTTGCTTCATATCAAATATTATGAACAATTTAAGTTTGTAATTATTATTTAATTTTAACTTTTATAATTATGAAAGTGCTTTTAAAATTTTATAATCGTTATAAAAGATGCGTCGTTTCAAGTTGTCCCCTATATAAAAGCAAACATAATAAAAAAATCAAAGAAACTTGTATACGTTCTAAAGTTTCTGATGCGATAGTTTAGGTAAATTAGCCTTACTAACAATGTGAAAATAACTCCTAATAAAACTATAATTATATACATACCTAAAAAAAATTATATGGACTTTTATTTTAAAAAGAATTCACATGTGCAGTAATTTTTATGAATTATGAAGCATATAAGTTTAATTAATATAGTATACATATGAAAAGGATATATGTACATATGTATCATGCAACATTAGCAAATTCGTTAATATCAAATGTACATTGAATAATCTTAAATTTTAAAAAATAAACCAAAATCAACTAATTAAAAAATTGAACTATTTTCTTTTGTCTTGTAGTGGAACATTTATTGAAATTTTAAAAAAAATTAACGGAACCTGGAAAGTTTTTTTAAATAAAAGTAGAAAAAGATTGAATTTTAACTTTTTCAATAAGAATACGTGTAAATTCGTTAGCTGTGAACTGTCACTGTCTCTTAGGGTCTAGACCTGTACTTCTGTTAGCCGTGATCCCCACATAAAATAACCAGGCACAAAAAGACGAGCTATTTTGATTTCAATAGTGTTCTATGAAGTTTTATTAACAAAAGTTAACCTTATTTCTGACCTGAAAATTTCAGAATACATAAACAAATATTAAGCTGACGATACCGTAAATTTCTTAGTTTATAGAACTTTTTGTAATTTTCAAACAATTAATACAAGCACAATCATTTCAATTCTTCTACTATTTTGAACTGCATATTCTTAATCTTTTACATTACGCTTTTATTGCTTTCAGTAGTTCATATAATTGCAATATTTGGTCTTCTCGAAATTTGTCCAAATCGTTTAATTCCATTTGAAAACCAAGTTTCCCTTTGGGCTTTCCTCGAACGCCCAATTGTTCTGACAACAAAATAGCGTAATTTGACCATTCAGCTATAAAAAAATGAGCTTCAGTTACACTACAATCCTTATGTAATTTAAATTCTCTTTTTACATAGCTATTTCCTATACCCCTCAATTCAAAAGGTAAACCTACAATTATTTCTAAAATATTGTGAAAATATTTGGCAAAGTATACGTACCTCTATGCAATTTCAATATAGTTTTGTATAATAAGCGGACTTTTTGCGAATTGTTCAATGTTATAATTTTCGACATTCTGATCCGAGTTGAAATATTCCAAATAGTCATGTGTCGCACGCGAACGAAGTAATCTTAAAAACGAATTACTTCACTGAACTTAGCTGATTAGTTCACTTCTTAAAAAATGAATCGTTCATCGTTCACTAAGAATTCCAATTCTTTTTTAAGTTATTAAAAAATATTACTGCATATACATATTTTATTTACTTATTGGTAATTGATATTCATTTTATATTTTTCCTTATTTCATTCTGTATTAATATTACACAATCCAAATAAAATTGAACGACGTACTAATAAAGCATATCCAATACTTATACAAACGATTGATATACTACTATATGCGATATTGATAAAAGCGAACGAGAAGTAAAATAAATGAAATAATATACTCCAGTGTTCCCACTCAGTAAAAGCAAAATGTATATAATTTCGAGGAAAAAAATGAAATGGAAAAGTGAAACATCCATTAGAAAATATTTATAATTCTGATTTGAAAGTGAATAAAAAGTGAGTAAAAAAGCGAGATACATGATGAGGCTCTAAGTCGTCTTATTTTTTTACAAATTTACTCATAGTTAATATTAATTTACTTTATTCAGCAATAAGAGTTTTGTTCACATCACGGCTGACAGAAATAAATTTTTCCGATGTCAAGTCTCTTCTTCTCGTAGACTGTTCCTTCTGCATCCTTCGAGGCAATTCTTTTGGGGCATTTCTGTTTATATAAACGTAGTTAAATATAATATTATTTATATTTTATTTAAATATACATACAATAAAAATTCTAAAAAGTACGCCAAATCTATTTCGCCGCACAGCGATATATCGTTCCCGTACGAAATTTATATGTGTACTAAAGAATTTCAAGAGCGTTTTTATTTGTAAAAACTTTCCATACGCGCAAATACAAAAATATGAAGTTGTCTTGTAAATTGTAGGTGTTTTTTATACAAATGTTGCTTTCGTTTTGCCAAAAGAAAATTAAAATTGTTATTACAGGGAATAGATACTATAGATATATTATTTATTAAAAGAAACTTTTTTTAATTACATTTACCTTATTTTAAATATTTAAAAATTAAAATTTATTTTACTACTGTTTACCTTTTTTCACTATAGCCTCCAGCATACTCTTAAAATAATATAAATTGTCAAATCACAACAAAGTTTTGAAAATTACTTCTAGCAAAGACGCATAGGTATATTTATTTATACGTTTTTACTTCTAGCTGCATACAATTTTTATTCGCCTAGTTTTGACATTTTCTCGAAATAATTTTATTAGCTACGCGAACCATAATACCATTTAGGCGAATTCAAGAACAATAACATTCGCTTCGCGAATCATCATTCTTCCATAAAAGTGGTACCAAATCAATCTTGACGTGATGACGAATGTCAAAATCATCACCTCAATATAATATGCACTCGATTAACCACCACGTTAAATGCATCCTAGTATTTTCCTTAGGTAATAAAATGGAAAAGTCGGCGAAGTTAGTAATTACAAAAATTATTTAATACTACACATAATAAAAGTTTTACTCTACTGATTTTTATCTTGATAATTATTGGTGTTTTAGTATTTTACAAAAGCAAAAGAAAAAAAGTTGTGGGCAATTTGAGGGTGATCGACAATACTGACATACCTGAAGATTTTTCGAGATATTCAAATAAGCATTAGCAACTTATTTTAAAGTTTTTTTGGTAAAAGTTCAAAACTTTTCTTTGAAATTTTGAAGTATTTTGGAAATCTTAAAAAAATTTCTGTACGTTTTATTTTAATATAAATATATACAAATTTTCTTTGAAACGGTGTGAGAAGTTGCAAGGAATTCAAAAAATCGCTAACTATTGCTTTAAAACTTTTTTTTTGTTAATACAATAAGTAATCAAAATATTTTTCACTTTATTCAATCTTAAATTTTTTTTGTAAAATAGTTAACACTGCTAACCTAAAAATATTTCAATATTCCAGGTGACTCGATTTTTTTTACCCCGTCAGTGATGCGATTAACAGAATTTAGCTGAATTCTTCAATAGTGGTTTTTATTGATGATTGGAGAGAATACTGTAAATTCTACATTAAAAAGGAAATATATTTGCGATAACTCAAATCAAATAGAATTAAACGAATTCAAGCAATTTTGTTTCTTAAAATTTCGATTTTCCGGTGTAGTAGGATGTGTCGATGGAACTCTTTTGAATATTTCTTCGAAACAGAAAACTATTCACTGAAGTAAATTTATATACATACTTATGTGTGTATTGATTAGTCTTACGTGTAATATTTTATATCAAAATTTTAATTTCTTATTATCCATATTTTCTGCTCAACCTCTTTCTCTCTCTGAAAAAGTTGATTCAACTCCAACTTAAATGCAGAGGTTTTGATAATTTCATTTGATACTTAAAAAAAGTGACGTAAATAAAATAATATAAAAAAATAAAGTTCAACACTTCCAGATTAGGCGATGAACGTTCATGAGAGAAATGAAATTGTCTTTCAAAGTAAATTGTTTTAATGCGTATTTAACTTAATAGAAATGGAATGTGATTTAAAAAGTGCATTCTGATTGTCCATCAAAAATGAAAATAGATTGTTCTTTTGCCTGCAATTTATTTTTTCGTTTTTGTTAAATCATATAAAATCTTGATTGCAAATCATGTTCATATTAGGTATTTGGAAAAAAAGAAGTGCCCTACCAACGATACAAATAATCGTAGCATATAATTCATTAAATTTGTTTGATTGTATTTTTTTGCAAGGCTCTATATCTTGGGAATCTGAAGTTGGATAGACATGTGTCAAAAAATGTATTTTTTGATTTTGACAAACAACTTAAATATTTAAAAAAAGTTTGAAAAGTACAGCTACACAATTTTGCTACTTATAGTAGTGCAAATTCTAGCCACAAAATGCTAGTTGTAAAATTCAATTATGTACGTGCGTGACTACTATATTTTTTTTAATTGAAGACGGAATTCGAATATATATTTTTTTTTCGGAAATGTTTTATTTCTTTGTTGTTATTAAGAGTTTACTCTCAAATTAAATTTTTCACTTTCAGCCATCTTTAAAATTTTCAGTTAAAACTTATATTATAATCATATGTCACTTTTTCAGCGCTGAATCACTGACTTCAGCACTGACGGTGTAATCTTCGCCATTGAAATGGCATGCAAAAATAATAAAAATGTTCACATGACAATGTGACAATGTGAAGGAACAAACATATCAAAGTGGCTACTTTTTTTAAAAGAAATAACAAAATAAATTCATACTTACTATAAAACAGTAAAAATTCCGAAAATATATTTAATTAAGTATAATATTTTTATTCACAATTATTTAAAATTCTAAAAATACATGCAAAAAAGTGGAAAAATTAGAAGCATAATTTTCTCCTTCAACCTTTCATATGGTACTGAAAGTATTTCATTAGTAATTTGACATTTACGTACGAAATAATATTAAAGAACAAATCACTTCACTGAACTTAGCTGATTAGTTCACTACACATATCAAAGTGGCTACTTTTTTTAAAAGAAATAACAAAATAAATTCATACTTACTATAAAACAGTAAAAATTCCGAAAATATATTTAATTAAGTATAATATTTTTATTCACAATTATTTAAAATTCTAAAAATACATGCAAAAAAGTGGAAAAATTAGAAGCATAATTTTCTCCTTCAACCTTTCATATGGTACTGAAAGCATTTCATTAGTAATTTGACATTTACGTACGAAATAATATTAAAGAACAAATCACTTCACTGAACTTAGCTGATTAGTTCACTACACTTCTTACTTCAACCCTTCATATTGCAAATTAAACTTATAGGTGAAAGCTTGCCAGTTACTACGATTTTTTCTGCACAAATATTATATAAGTACTCCCAACTGTTACTTTTCAATAAGATTATGGTTTCAAAGAAAGAGAATGGACTGAACCATACCATATGTAATATATATATGGTCGGAAATCATTTTACCGTTGCATAACAGTTAATTCCAGATGCCAAGCAAAATTAAATAATTCTTAAATAAGATATAAATAACATTTTTATTATAAATCTTTATAAGTTGAAATATATCAAGGAAAGATAAATGTATACAATTGGAAAAAAAAAACTTATGTTTTATTTTTTTTGTAAAAAATTTTTAAAACTGTTAGTAATTAACCGCAACAACGATAGTCATAGAAATCACGAATAAATAACTTGGAATTAAAACTATACCGAGAGCATATGCCAAACATAACTTTTCACCACACATATTAATTCTTTGCACTCCGAGTGTTTTTTTAAGAGTGCGGCAACTTCGTGACATTTTTGCGTTGGAGCATCTGAAAAATAAACTTCTGTTCTAAAAAAAAAGATGTGTTGTTATAAATTTATTTATCTAATTAATGTGGTTTGTGATAAAAGAAATACAATTTGATATTTATATTTCGTAATTCAACTTAATGTGATATGTGTGAAAACATTCTTCCATATGCATCCGTGGCTTATTTGGACATGTGTTTATTATTTCCAACTAAATTGTCTACAAAAAATTCAACATCAATTTCAACACTTTTCTTCCATATTTTCTCAAGGTTAAATCTATCTAATATAAAATAAAATTTAAAATTCACTAAGAAATTATGCACAGCAACTTAGAATACAGAATCTGCTAGTCATTGAACGCAAACTACACTGGCTTTTCTAAATGCACTGAAAGCAACTGGCGCAAAAGCGGCACCTACGGAGTGCAAAGGGTTAACGTACTTCTCAAATTAAGCTACTTTGTGAAAACGATGAGTAATCAATTATGTAATACGAAGATAACAATAATTGTCAAGATTATATGAAATTTTGAAAGAATAGGGATTTTAATTTAAGGAATCCGATGAGGTACTTAACTCGATCTTATGACAGCTTGCTGGAATATTTCAAACGATTTCAAACTATTTCAAAAGCAAACATACCCATAATAAATTATACATTGTATGTATATCTAAATGAGCGTTTGTATAAGAAATTGTGTAAAGTATATACATAATTATTTTGAATATGAAGCACATATGTTAATAAAATACATAATTTTATGTTATATTTAAAAAAAAGAGAAAATTGGAAACCAAACAAAAAAATTTATTAAAATTTTTCCAAAATTGATACAAATTTTTAATAATTAGGTACATTTACTGAAAAACCATTTAATCTATTATGAAGTACAGTTTATTTAGCAATTTGTATCCGGTCAGTTTTAATTTTAATTTTCATACAAATTCAATTTTTTGGTTTTGTATTAAAAAATGAAAAACGTAAAAT